GTCCGCACAAGGTTCGGGGCAGGGAAGGTTTCTGATTGGATAGGAGGCAGGCCAGATGTTACGTGTTTACGTTTACCGGCAGAAAACACTCTAATCCTCATTCCAGATAACAAGATGCTTGACGACGCTGTTCTTAGTGCCTTTTTCAGGCTTGTTTTGCTTATAGTCTTGAAGCAGCAGTACAACAACAACCTTGTTCTGCTAATGCTTCGTCTGTTGAGGAGAAGAAGGGAGATAGCTGACTGTGCTGTGGCGAATGGAAACAGGTGAGTGCAATGAGTCCGACTGCTCTATCTCAGCCCGTTGCTATGCGCACTATATACGTCATCGCGACAGAAGGGCAAGGAAACGAGCATGCGCGGAAAGACTGGAATGAATTTAAAGAGGAATGAGTGTATACAAGTGTGACAAATTCTTCATTCGTTATTAGAAACGGAATATTCCAGCCCCTTACATCGGAATGAATTTTCAATCCCATTGGCCATTTTCATTCAGAATTAGGTGTTTACAAGATCACTTTTAATAGGAATGAACTTTCACTCTGAATGAAAAGGGAAATTAACTGTCCATGTAAACGCACTCAGTGTGTCACAGTATGTTGTTTTCCTATAGCACCTATGCTCCAGAAAAGCCATTACACAACACATAAACCTATAATATCTTGCTACAAGGAATCTTTTGTGTCACCCCGCTAATCTCATTAGCCTTACAAAATGACAAACTGTATATGAACATACAAGGCTGTATGCATTGCCGCTTAACATGTGACCTATAATATGATGAATACACACTTACGTAGGTCTTTCTATAGAAGGCCATGCAGTGCAAGGACTCAAACACACTCAGCAGTGCATTGTTTAGCGTACCATGACTAAATAAAGCACAGGAAGGCAGAGTAGAGCACAAAGAAAAACAGCAGAAATAGAATACACAATAACCAGAGTGCAGGGCAGAGAGCTCCAGACTCCATTAGGTGCTAATGGATTGTCATGCTTCAGTGTTACCCGCAATACAATTACACTGGTCAGAGATAGGACGGAAGGCTGAGAGGTATGAAAGAAATGGATAACCAGAGAGTGAGATGGGAAGGGAGTAGCAGTGGATGGGTACAAGCAAACAGAGGGCATAAAAACACACAGGTTAGAAGAGAAAACAACATCACCCAGAGGTATTACTAGCCTTTACCAATCAACAGCAGGAGGCAACATCAACCTCCCCTCTGGAGTCCCCATCCAAAATGCCAAGTGGCTGCCATCTTAGGGGGAGCTATCATAACACTTCTGTTTTTAACTCTTTGAGCTCATGACACTCACACAGCTGGTAGCGGCTTGAGTGTTCATGTGTGAGCACGTGTGTTTGTTAGACCCCAGAGGAATCCCAAAACATCATACTGCAGTGTCCTACAAGGAGAAGGGGGAAATCAAAAGCATAATAAAAGAAGAGAAGGGGATAAATGAGCAAAAAAGAAGAGCAGGGAATGATCCTGAAAGAGCAGCTCAGCGGGATGGAGAGAAAAAGGCAAAGAGAGCTCTAGAAAATTTCTAGATGGAGGGAGGGGGAGAACGGAAAGGGCAAACAGGAAGGAAGACAGGTCCATGAAGGGTGAGCTCATTTAGCTAGCATCCTGACTGTGTGACAATGAATCCAGCCCTTTTAGCTCAGGCAGAGGCATTATGAGAGAGGACATAGCCCGAGGTATTCTCTTTCACGCTCTCTCTCCCTGTCTCTCACTCGCTCTCTAATAGACACACATAGTCTAAAGGCAAGGGGGGGAAAAAAAAACTTCACAGACCATTACACACCCCGGGACTGTCAATGTGCTGCATGGTACAGGACAACCAGTCCTCCTCATCGAATACCAGGTTAGACAAGCTTGTAAATGTGTGTGAGTTGAGTGGGGGGACTCATCATCATGCAGTTTGTTTCACATCAGGCTGCTGCCTCTCCTTCATCTCCCCGCCCTCCCCCATTCACTGTTTTTGGGACTACAATATACAGATTAACAGCATATCAATAACTGCAAACTGCAATACATACACTATTTTCATCTTACCCTAAAACTACAGAGGAATAGTAACAGAAACAGCTTACTTTAGGTCCATCAGAGTTTAAATAGGGGATGCTGCACAATTAGATGGAGTCATGATTCTGGTCCATGTTTTTATGAATGTGGAGAAAAATCAAGTGTAACCGCATCTACTACACACTGCAGTTAGGGGGAAAATAATCATAACCATACTGAACTTCATCACATTTGACTGTTTTGTTCTTTTAATTGGAACTTCCAAATAAAAAACAGCTGCCTCACATGAGACAAGTTAAAAACAGAACAGTCAAAACAGTAAAACTGAAATTCTTTTGAAATGGAAGCTTTAAGGTTCCTGAAAACAATAATTTCAAGGGTTACAGGTTGGGATGTATGATATATATCGAGCCGATAGTGGAACATTTCTATTATTATGCATTATTCCGATAATTAAAATTAGAGCCAATAAATAGTGCCAATAATACAAAGCCAGACTGCTTTCATTGACTTAACAAGGGCAGGATATACACACCAACACAGTGTACCTTTAAATTTGGTTTGCAAGCTGCCGATAAAGAGATAGATAGATCAAAATAACTTCCTGCAGCTCGACTCAGTTACACAGTATATACTGTTACTACTATGTAGGTTTAGCCTGGAAAGATTTTGAGTCTGGCCCTCACTGATACACCCTTCCTACCCAAGGGGCGGCACTAACTGAGGCATATTAAATGCCACCGCACGCAACTGTATGGCACGATGGCCCTTTCAGAGCAAAAAACAAGGTAACGTATTCATTGCACTAATCCCCATTTGTTTGCCGACCAGTGGGGCTAACTGATATGTTATGTGTTTGCCATATCCCGTCAGCAAAAACGCAAAAACTTCCTTCCTGGAAGCGAAGGTTTCTAGCGCAGTCTTCCGTTCCTCTCTAAGGAAAAAGATAAGTGTAGTTGGCTTAGCGTGTCTTCCAAAGCTAAACTGAATGGACGTGGTCCTTCGGCAGCTGCCATCTTGGCTGTTTACTTTTCGACCCCTACGGCGCAGCACTGTCTTCATCATGTTACGCCTGCCCAAAGCCCGCCTCTGTCAGATAGACTGATCTGATTGGTCCAATAGGCGATTCAGTGGGCTCTGCTCGTCTGGGCCAGATCCCCGTGTAGTGCAAATTCGATTTTGCTGGGGGCGGGGCATATGGATTTCCAGGTTAATGTAGGTTACGTTTTCAATTATTTCAAACTAATTACGTGTTAGCTTGAACTTGACTTTTTGAAAAATGACAGCCCTAAACTGTCGGTGCAGGTTTAAAAATCATATTGTTAAAGTACATATTGTTAGTATGCATCTGGAGTAGTGTTTGTGTCCATCTGATGAAGTCCAATAGTGACTCTTCCTTTAGCTCTGTTTTGGTCTCCACCGCTTACTGAGAGAAATATCTGGCTCTATTATCAGCTGAATGCTCCACTATGATCACCAGCCTGTCGCCTTGTTGTTTGGTGCTGGGCAGAAACTGCATACTTACTATAGCAGATTGTGTCATGATATTATAGAAAATTGAATTTGAGAGCAAAAACCTAACACAGGCAGGCATTTGATATTTCATGTTGTGGCCGGTAACTTGACAATAGCACTTAAATCCCTGTAGACACGCTACTGCTGGCTGCAAGGTTAGGCAAGGTACAATCAACAAATGAATAAATGAACAGGAAGGTTTGTAGGTTAACTGAGGATGCACTGCCTGCTTCATGGATGCTTCACCTAAGAGCGAGCCCCTCTGGTGTAGCATGGTAAATTGATTTTTATTAGCTCAGTAGCTGCTTGCTTCCATTAGGCTTCCAGTGTAACTCAAGGGTGCATACAGTTGCACATAAACACACAGCTAGCAAAACAGGATGTTACTGCGGTTACTGCGTATTCTAAATATCAGATTAAACTGGAATCTTAAGACCATTTATTTCCAGTCATCATTTAAAGTAGAGAAAAGTTTGCTATTGTAGAGAGCTTATAGCTGAGCTCTCCTAAATTTTGGAGGTAAGACAGAATAAAACATCAAAATTAACAACAGCCAACATTACAGCAAGCACTGAGGCTGAATACTGTACACAGATACAATCGGGTATTATTATAGCTTTCAAGTTGAGCGGAGCAGCACACTGCTGCTTCATGTAATAAGCCCAACACACCATGGTTATTTTGGACAGCCAGTCTGTTAGAGTCAAGTTGCCCACAGCAACAAAGAGCAATACACAAAACCAACCTCCTGTGAGACCAGAATCCACAGAGCAGAATGATATTAAGAGCTAGTACTGGATGTCATCAAAAGCTGTAAGAGGATCCCTCTCTATAAAAACAACCAAGAGCATGTACAGTAAATTGATGAGACATCAGTAAGTGCCACCATGGGGTGCTGAGGAGAATTTCATTTCGGCTACAGCTGAGTTTAACCAGAGCCTCTCGACAAACAGAGGAGGCTGCCTGCAACAGGCACAGTTTGGTATACAATCAGAACAAATGGGAAAGGCAGTGCAGATAAGAAACTCACACTTTCTCCCCCCAATCTTCCTCTCTCCCTCACCACCTACATATTCTGTGTAACCATGAGCTGAGTGCCACAAAATCAGAGCTTTTCTCTGAGAACTGACAAGAGGAATTCTGGGTAATGTGGGAAATCCATAGCTAAAATTAGAGGTAGATGAGGCAGCTTGTGGGAAACTAAAACCAACACCAGTGCAACACACAGAACACTAGACACTAAGATGTTTCATATCACCCGGCACAACTTGAACCAATGGAGCATCAGCAAACATTTGATCAATAAACTCAGCAACGGAGCAAATAGAAAGCGTGTGAGGACAGTGAAGATGAATTCTTGAAATAATATCTTGAGGTTTGAATGAGTCTCTCTATATCTGAAGTGCGATCTGAATGAATAGCTTCAAAAGAAGACCAGAACGTGTTTTTTCCGTGTACTCACGTAGGAAATGTTTCTCCAATAAGGCAATTTCCAGGTGACCTTTGACTTCGTTGAGCCGGTCTGACTCCGACCTCTGGAAGTCCTGGATGGCCGCAGCCATGGTGGGAGACCCCGAACCTGCCTGTGAACACACATACACACACAATGATGCATACAGCGCATACAAAGACGACCATGCACACACACCCAGGCAAACATTCGATTCACAAGCAAAGACAACAAAAGAAAGCGATGTTTGGTTTTAGAATTACTCGCCAAAAAAAATACATACAAGTCAGCACGAGCAGGGATATCCCATATGATGTAACACACACATATACACACACAGATTAGCATGGTGCCATGACTCACGCTAACGTTTCCTGTCCCGGTCTAAGTCCAGCTGGAGCGTGATAGGATGAGGAAGGCGAAAAAGAGGAGAATCCCCCCCTCTTCCTCACTACAGCAAACACTGATGACTCACACACCCTTATGACTAAGGGCTTTAACTCTGACACACACGGCTAGCAACACAACATGTGTGTAGGTGGACCGGCTGGATGATAATGATTGAGAGGTGACGACTGTGTGAAAGAGGAGAGGAATCAGGGACAGGGTGTGAGGAAAAAAAAGGGTGAGTGGGTGATGGAGGGAGAGGAGAGGAAAGAGCGAGAGCAGGGGAGAGACGGCGGTGCTAGCGGATGATGAGCACTGCAGGTTGAGAATCGCTGCTCGACTACAGCAAGGGTCCTTTAAAAGACTCCTGCCACACACACACACACACACACACACACACACAACCGCACACACGCTGCAGCAGCTTCTCCCTGACAGCAACCAGCATGGTTTGCGTGTGCCTGCGCAGACACACTGCAATGTCTTCAGCTGATGTGCTCTCTGCAAAGACCGCGAGAGACAGAGAGCGAGGAAGAGAGAGAGAGAGAGATAGCACAAAACTGACATTGACCTGAAAAAATGTGCTTTGGGAGCAAGCCAGAGCCTAACAAGATAAGCGGGTGGGGAGACATAGAGATGGGGAGATGGAGAGAGTGTCCCTGAATAACGAAGCGCTTCAAAGACAACAAATAAAAGCCTCCTGTAGAAGTGTGTCATGGAGGGGAGAAAGGATGTTGACTGAAAGAGAGAAGCAGAAACAGAAAGAGGGTGTGAGAATTAAATGGAGACAGGAGGATAAAAGGGAGAGGAGGAAGGCGAAAGAGACAGAGAGACAAAGACGTGAAGGACATGGAGGAGATGAAAGGAGCAGACAGCAGGGAGTGGAAAGAAGTTTTGCTGCATTACGAGCACTCGGCTGCAGCAGTGCTCCTTGGTTTTGTATTTGTCAGCTTCAAATTCAAATGATTTGGTCCAAGGACGGTGCATTACGTGAGCAAACCTTCCTGTTGTTTGATGCGGTCGACATCTCTCAGTCAGTACCTCCTGGTTATCATAAGTGGGTCAAGCCCTGACGTCACCCTGGACGATTATCTGCTGATTAATTATAGTGTTCCCCCCTCTCCCTCTTTCATGTCTGAGGCTGACATGAGTGCAGGAATCTCACTGCGTCCTGCTGTAAAACCATCTTTTCAATTTCTTCGTGTGTTAAACACTTCATTACTGAGTGCTGTTAAAGCATCAAAGTTGTGGTATCCATAGCTGCAGCACTTTGCTTACACCCACTCTCAGCCTCTCCATCATGTAGCTGTTAGTTCTGTTTAAGGTGGACATAAGGTCGCTGAGCACAACATACTCCAACTGTGAAACTAATCTTCACTGTCTGGTGAAGAATAGAGGTGCAAACATCTGCATTATATTATGAATTTAAGTTGCAAGCAAGCCACAATCCCCAGCTCTAGTTTTCTGTATTCTCGACACTGTTGAGTAACAGCCTTGCCTGTTACTTGCCATTTTCAGGATGCCAGCAGGGCCCCTCCCTTGCAACTGTTATCTGGTTGACAGGACTGCTTTCATAATACTTCTAACCAGGCAAAGAATACTCCCAACCTAGAAATCGCCTACTCTGCTCCACCATTCTCTGTCTGGCTGAAAGATGTGATGTCCTTTTTGCATATGGAACAGATAAAGTTTAGCTTAGAGGGTCTAGCTGGCACTTTCTAAAGAAGTGGTGACCCTTTGTCTCCTTATTTAATGGCTCATGGTCCGCCTTCTTCCTGCAACTAATGAATATTTTTGTTATCGGTTAATCTGTCATTTATTTTTTCGATTAATCAATTAATTGTTTGGTCAATAAGATTTTAGAAAAGATGAAACATGTCTATCTGTGCTGTCCACAACCCAATGATAATTCAATTTACTGTCATAGAGTAGAAAAGAAACTAGAAAATATTCACATTTAAGAAGCTGAAATCTGAGAATTTTAACTTTTTTTCTTAAAAAATTAATCAAAACTATTAATTGATTATTAAAGTAGTTGGTGATCAATTAATAAACTGACAACTAATTGATTAACCATTGCAGCTCAACTGCAATGACTGTATTTTACCCAAATTTATTTCATTTATTTTGCCTTTTCGCTTTCTTCTCCTGGCCATCTACTTGCTCACCTATTTGTTAGTATTATTGTATAGGTTTATCACTAGCTATAGCTGTCTTCCCCTTTTAATTATTATAAACTTTTGTTTTTCTGTAATGTGTGTTTTCAGTGTTGTGCAGGGGTTGGACTGGGTGAAAGGCTGGATGGGGAAAAGTGAATAAATATGAAAATTGTGACCTCTAAACCAGTCAGTGTGTTCACTGTTGGCTTTATTTTTTCACCAATTAAAACTAACTAAAAAAAAAACTAGAAGTACCACCCAACGGTTGTAGGCCTTTACACACCATTCAAGTTCCTCTTACAGTTTACATCCATGTCTGTGAAAACATGGATGTAAGATTAGTGTCACCAATTGGTCAGTATCCCTTGACCTTTTGGATATTAAATGTTATTACTTATATCCTATTAGACATTTGTGTGAAGTTTTTCAAATTAGCGCAAGAATTCTTCTTCTGTGGCCGAAAATTTTACTGAGGCACACTAACCTTGACCTTTGACCTTCCACCACCATATTCTAATCAGTTTATTCTTCAGTCCAAGTGGACCTTTGTGTCCACTTGGACACAGGTTCGACTCCAGCCTGTGGCCCTTTGCTGTATGTCACCCCCCCCCGCGCTCATCTGTCCTATCAATTAAAAATGTCCGAAAAAATATCTTAACCCTCTGCGGTCCAGAACTGCGCCGGCTCGTCAAGATCACGTGACCGATTTGAGACGACGTAGCAGCAACACGCAGCCTCGCTGAGTCTCTGTTTCATTTTGTGTGGAAAGTGCAAACTTTGTACCACTTTTGAAATCGTCTTGATAGGCCATATAAAACCGGACTTATGATAAATAATAAATGCCATGATTTTCCTGAATATTGTTGTCACGTTTGATCCGTGTTTGATGCAGGAAGAAACGGTAAAAACGGGCCGTTCGGCCCTGACGAAAGTGCTGAAGGCAACAGCAAAAAACAAAAAAAACGACACCCCCTTTCCTATTGGTTGAAAAATGCACCACGTCAACCAATCACAAAATTGTATGGCAACACACATCATTTGTTGCTGGGGAAGAGGGGGAAGTTGTGGGAGTGACGGCAGTGAGAGAGACAGCAGCAAGAGAGACACCGATCGCAATCACAGATAGAGTTGGGATTTGTGACGTTTAGCGTGTTTGGAGTGTATATTTATTGTGTGGTGTAGTGTGTTTTGTAAGAGGAGAGAGGAAAATGAGCCTCCTACGACCGCATTGAGTGGTACTTGGAGGTCCGCACAGAGGAGCGGACGGTGTGGCAGGGCACGCCCACCAGGTCCGGATCTCCGTTTGCTCAGGCAGCAGAGCCACACAGTGTGTGTCACTCCTCCTGTTGTCCTTCTGTTGTGTCCTCCTCCTGTAGTGTGTTGTGGTGGACAGGAACTGTTTTTCAGAGTGGCACAAATAATTTGTGTAAAATCACGTAGGAGAAAAGCAAGCACTCTCAAAATAAATCCCCTAGAAAGGTGCATGGCCAAAAACAGCGACAAACACAGACATTTTGACAGAAAGTCTTCTTCTATGAAAAAGACTTTCTGTCAAAACGTCTGTGTTTCTGGTACTGCCACCCAAGTTGGTTTATTAAATTTACCAAAAGGACATTTGTGAGTGCTGGCATTTTTCCCTTTGACAAATAATTTGTGTGACATCTGATTGTTTTGTAAATAGTTGTTCAAAAAACGCCTGAGGCATTGCTTGCATTTTAATGTAAATAGTTATTTATAACGTTGTTGTTTGCTAAATTAGGACATATGTTTTTGAAGTTTACAATTTATATTTTTATTCTAAGTTACAAAAATGGTTCGTTAGACATGTTTGTGGTTTTCACAGTAAAAATTCTAACTTTTTCCTACTCTGATTTTATGTTTTTTTTGTGATTTTAGGTCCATTGTGTTAATACAGTATGTCAAAATGAAAAAATAACTGTAAAGTCACACAGGTGAGGTTGTGCTGAAAAGAATGATACCAAACAAGGCAAGGTAAACAGTTTTTTTAAGGTGAAATTTAAAGGTAAAATGAAAAGTAGTCAAAAACAGCCAATTACCCCCTAGACCCCATAGGGGGAAAAAAAAAAAAAAAAGAAATTCCCTGCAGGTGTTTTGGAGATATCACATTCACAAGAATGAGATGGATGCAAGGTCACACTGACTTTGACCTTTGACCACCAAAATCTTATCAGTTCATCGTTGAGTCCAAGCGAACGTTTACCCCAAATTTGAAAAATTTCCCTTGAGGTGTTCTTGAAATATCACGTTTTCAAGAATGAGGCAGACAAACAGTGACCTTTATCTTTGATCTACGACCACCTAAATTTCATCAGTTCATTGTTGAAGTCCAAGGGGACGTTTGTGCCAAATTTGAAGAATTACCCTCGAAGCGTTCTTGAGATGTTGTGTTCACGAGAATGGGACGGACGGACAACCTGAAACATAATGCATCCGGCTATGAATTGCCACACCGAAAGAGAGCAACAAAATGAATAGATGCATATCTATGTGTAACAGGCCATGACATTTTACTTTACTCGACATTTTACATCAACAGCAATGTGATTAGAAAAAGTACTGAAAATGT